CCATCCCAATGAAACAGCCTAGGGGTTTGTTAATACAGGGTTGACATTAATTTGAATGCAAAAATTCGATCCAAATACCATGTAACAATTATGCATCCTAGTTCATTCTCTACTGGAATGTAACTTTTTGATCTGCATTCCGAATCCATAGTGCTATACTATACCATTCAAAGTGAAAATCACTGATGGGGAGCTTGACTCCTGGGTCTTTTCGGCATCGAGTGCGCAGTGGCGGCCTTGCAGAAACACAAAATTAACAACCACGAGCCCGACGATTTGGCATGGAAGAAAAAGAGAAAAAACATTGTTTCTTTTGAGCTTTTGATTTCTAGTGTACCGCACTCGGAATGACAGCAGGCAAGTCGGGCAATGGCAGAATCATTTTTCAAAATTGGCAGACTCAAGCACGCGGTCGGTTGGCGCTTGCAGCTCGGCGTGCACTGGGCACACACACACACATGACCCATGGCTACAATGGCCAACGCATTCCGGTGATTCGATTCGAGTGTCAAACAGCTTGCCGAAGTATAAAGTGAATAATTTTTTGCGATGTCAGAGCTAAGCCAAGCCGGAATGAACCCCTAGGCCAGAAATCAGCTATTCGATTTCATTATCATTTCAGACCTCAAAAGCCTTCGGCTTCGATCCATTCGATGAGTTCGGCTTTCAATTGGTCGACTGCATTCTGGTCAGCCTCCGGGTCAACCCTAACACATCCCTTGTACCAGTCAAAATTCGCAATCGCATCTTCTAAGTTGATGCCCTTCAGGAGCTGAGTCCCCTTAGCCGTGCATCAGCTTGAATGTTGCAAATATATTTGATGCGAAGATTATGAAAAGATTCGGGATGAATAAAATGAAAATGGAAATACTTACCCAACCAAGACCCATCGGAATAAAAGTTTGAACTTTTTCCTGTTCTGGGTCCGCGCGCGCGCGCCACTGGGCTAACGAAAGAAAGATCAAAGTGGCGCGCGCGCGCGGACCCACAACCAAAAAAGTTCAAAAGTTGGCCCTTGGTGACTTCAGAATAAATGGAAGGGCGATATGACATGGGTGGGGTAGTGATTTTGTCCATGCTATCGTCAAATCGAAACATGTCCAGACTAGTTGCGATCAAAGCCATGCCCCTTGCTGCCAAAAGCATGTCCCCATCTTCTCCGACAATGCAATAGGACACCTGCGGCTATGCGGCCGAGCTGGTGCTACTGTGGAGGAGAGGTCTCGGGATGGGAGTTTCTGGTGGCGGTTGCTTTCGACTATACTGGACATAAATGAATTCAATATCATATGGGATAACGAAGATTTGGAAAAGCAATACAACCAGGGCTGCCTGCTTCTGCTTCCCTGTCTCTCGATCGGGCACTTGGAAGCCAAGGGCATGACGGCTCCAGTAAGGGATAATTTTCAAAGTGGTGTTCATCGAATGAAACCAATCGTTGATATCGCTGATCTTCTCCTTGAGTTTCAAAGTCTTCTCCGTGTGGGTGATCCTTGAGCGCTTCGGAGCTGCAGCCTGCCAGGGGGCATGGTCGGAGGTTTTGTTTTGCTGGCATAGCTGAAAAAGTTTTTTAAAAATGGTGAACACATACCCCACCTCGGCTTCCTTCGGCTTTGCATTGTTCGTTTCCTCTGGTTCATCAGGTTTCTTTGAGTCGGTTTCCACATGAGGCTCTTCGTTTGATCCATAGAACTCCGCCTCGCTCATTTTGCGAGTTGCCCTCTTCCTTATTTGTTTCAGGGGCTATCGGCCCGGAACCCCGGCTGGGATAACACTTTGAATTACAAAAATCAAAACTGAAACGATGAAACTTTTCGAACCTTCCAGATTTAAGCTAAAGATCTGTCCAGCTTTCGGTGGGCTGTTCTTTAGGGCTTTCAAAACCCTTTTAGATTTCATTCTGCGCAACTTTCCAGGATCACTCTTGGTTTTCGACTTCACCTTGGATTTTGTACCTTTCTTCGTCTTCCCTTTGCTGGGTTTCACAACCTCTGTGCTATCATGAACTGCACTGGCATCAACATGATCTGAAGGCTCAATCCTTTTGACATTTGTGTCAACGATGCGACGTGTCTTTCGTTTTGGCTCTGCCCCCTCAGTCACCGGTGTCTCCGGTTTGTCCTTCGACTCTCCTCCATCGTCCCTGTCACATTCCTTGCCCTTGCCCTTGTCCTTATTCTTCTTGTCCTCCTTCAGCTGGAGCTGGTCAAGGCGGCTTAGAACCTGGGGCGAAGCAGAAGCAAGCGAGTGTCATCCATGACCATGCATGCAGAAACTGTGCTCATTTGTGCTCATATCGCAAATGCTGCAGTATCAAGAGTCATTCCTTTCTAAAATATTGGATAGCAAGGGGCTGGGACAGACGAAGGTTCGTCAGGAACCATTCCATACTTCTCATAAAGGTTGGACTGGAATGCTTGAGCAGCTTGATTCGCTTGTTCCTGGTTCATAGGCTGGGTGTCCACGGTGTCCACTTCAGATGGCAACCTCGGATGACCATGAATGACCCACCCTGACTATTGAATGGAATTCAGATGGCGCAACACTAGTAAAAGTTCCAAATCAAGAAACCAAGATTGAAACTTGATGAAAATCTTCAACAATTTATGCAAGAAACGTAGGTTCCGTAGGAGCCGTACCCACTCCAGACTGTGACTTTAGGGCTGCAATCTGTTTTTGCAAAGACTCAATTTTCGCTGGATCTGATGATTCTGTCCCATTATGATTCCCAGGCTCTTCATGGATCTTCTGGGGAGAATTCGATGTCCCTGGGGTTTGAAGCGAGTCATCAATCTCAACGATCTCGGATTGTCCATTCAACGATCCGGTCTGGGGCAACTGGTTTTTCAACTGCGCAATCCTTTCTTGGAGCTGTTCGGTTGATAACTTGGTTTCCGAAGGAGTACCCACTGGAAGAGCCATCCCCAAACCTTCGTCCATCTCATAAGCTAGGGTGTCCGCATGATCTGGGCCCGACATGTCCCCGACATCACCAGTGTCCTCCACATCATCGTCCGACCCGTCGCCCTCTGGGTCTGAATCCTCAGGAGGCTTCTCCACGTCGATGTCGATGTAGTTCTCCTGACAGCGGCGCAGATGTGGTGACAGGGAGGTTGACGGCAGAAAGAAGGAAGGGAAAAAGAAACATCATATGATACATAAAATGGAGTCATTGGGTATATGGAGTCGAATGCCTATGGAATACCATGCATGATTTTACAGGGCTGAACTTTGTACGGCTGATGCGTGTGTCTCACTTCACTTTAGTTTATGCATGCGTGTCGCTTCAGCTCGCTGAGATCGAAGATTGGCATAGGAGTTTTCTGAGAATATCAAGTTGGCTGGAGCGGCAAAATTATGGATACTAGCTGTTAGCCGGACCAGTTTGGAAAAGGCACCTTGGGGCCGAACCATTCCAGGATGCTCACCAGCTCTTGGTCCTGACAGGGGCTGGACACGGACAATGCCACAAAAAAATATACAGACAAGATAAGTGTTAAAACTTGCTGCCTGAGAACCCGTATGGACATTTTTTTTCGTATGTTTAAGTTTAAAGCTTCAACAAAAACACACGCAACATCACGCAACCGGTTTCGAAACCCATGTCCCGCGGGGTGTGTGGAGCAAGGTACTTCTTGCGGAGAAAACCCAAAATCTTTTTGATGCTACTGCTGTTCAAATGAATTTCAACTTCATTGTCCGCTAGGGCATATTCGACGTGTTCTTGGTGGACCGGCTTCCCATTGACCATGAGGGAGAAAATGGCAACTTGAAGATCAAGATCTTTGAGGTAAGGGGTCTTAAGTAGGTGCTGGTCTCTCATCATGTCGATGATAGGCTTCACAAACTCACGATTGTGAATCGCATGCCACTTGTCCCTTCTCGCAAGCGCTTGGCCTCTCACCTGCTTCAACACCATGGCTAGCAAGCCAGAGGTTTGAGTGCGTGCCCTCAAATCCTCATCATGAAACCAGTGCTTAGCAAGACCGTTGAGGTTTGCCGGCATGGCGCCCTCACACTTACAAATACAGAGCCAAAACACCTTTGAGTCGTTCTTTGAGAACTGCCGCTGTTGCGTGCTTCATGTTGCAAAAACTGTGCTTCAAACTGATTGCTTGCGAGCCCAATTTCGACACAAAATTTTTGAAAAGTCAAAATGGAAACCCTCGCCTGGTCATTCTTGGCTATCGGTGGCACGCCATGAAAGTGACAGGCGCCAAATGGTGCTCTGCAACTTCGCTAGCAATGCGATTTTTATTTATTTATCTTTCTCTCCCATGCCATGCTTGATTTTTTGAATTCCAGCCTTGTCAGCATGCTTCATCTCTAAAAATTCCAGCGCTTGTCAGCATGCTTGATCTCTTTCAATTTCATCTCTAAAAATTCCAGCGCTTGTCAGCATGCCTTGTCGGATGTTCGGACATGACGCGATATCAATGAACCCCTGACGCGGCATATGTGGTTGGGGCGGTCCATCATACTCATCTATCATCTATCATCTATCATCTATCATCTATCATCTATCATCTATCATCTATATCATCATCATCATCATCACCATCATCATCATCATCATCGTCATCTTCATCAGCATCATCATCGTCATCATCCTGGTCGTCATCATCATTATCATCATCATCAGTTTGCAATGCGATCACACACAACATGCACATACAAAGGTATAATCAAATTGTCATATCGTACAATTAGCTAAAAAAAATGGCCAATACGGGCCTGTCCAAAAAAAACGGCCAATACGGGTGAAACCCAAAACAGACAAAAAAAAATGTCCATACGGGTTCTCAGGTTGTTAAACAGTGATTCCCAGCAGATCTCAGTGAGCTTTCTGAAAGCTTGATGCGCTTTGCAGATCTTTGCGGAACCATGAAGGTATCTGTTCGCAACAGATTTAAACACCACTAACCAGCCTAGCTTCCATCATAGCTCGTCCATAGACATTTCGCAGCTGAAAGCATGTGCTAAAGCACCTCCCTAGCGCCATGATGGATGCAAGTGATGATGAAGCTGATGAAGATTTAGACCACTTGGGATCTGTCGAAGCTGTTCCGCGTTCAGATGCAGATCATTTGAAGCAACTGAACAGCCTTGGCATCACAGCCCAAAACGAGGGAGTGGATGCTGTCGATGACGAGAGCGAGCTCGAAGACCTACAGCCAGATTCAACCTCCAATTCGATGGAGACGCAGCTGTTAAAAGGGGGGCCCAGTTGGTTCAAAGCGAATCTGCCTGTCATGGACGTTCAACAAATGTTGGCCAGGCATTGCTTGATGCGTGCTTGTAATTGCCACATAGAAGTTTCTGAAGATCTGTCCACGGCAGACTTTTTTGCCATCAACTCGCGGGTCGCCTCCAAAGCCAAGGCCATCCTGCGCCTTTCCATCAACGAGCTTCAAAGCAGCATCTTACAACACGATGGTGGCAGTTCCATCCCCGAAGACTTTGAAGAGGAGGAGAATCTGGATGGTCTTGACATGAGCTGGGCAACACATTCATCCCATAGAAGTTTTTCCCATCACACAGTAAGGCCGTCTTTTGTGGAGCCATCGGCTCAGTCGTTTTATCCAAGTCTGGTCTCATGGACTTTCAATCACCAACTGGACCCGGTCCAGGCAAGGGCAATTGCATGTGTGGAGAATGGTGAATCTGTCCTGGTTTGTGCTCCGACTTCAGCAGGAAAAACAGCAGTTGCAACCTATGCCGTGGCCATGGCCTTGCATGGGAAGAGAAGGGCAATCTACACTACTCCAATCAAGGCGCTCTCAAACCAGAAATTCCTGGAGCTTGGGAAATCCTTTGGTGGCCAATATGTTGGGATCTTGACAGGTGACACGGTGATAGCTAGTGATGCTCCAATTGTTGTGATGACCTTGGAGATTCTTCAAAGCATGTTGTACAAGCAGGCCAGAGACCCCAATCTCCTGGATGATTTCCAGTGCGTCGTCATTGACGAAGCGCATTTTCTTGGAGATTTGGATCGAGGCTTTGCCTGGGAAGAGGTTCTAATCCTTTTGCCTCGTCATGTGAAGCTGGTACTCTTGTCGGCAACGGTGCCAAATTCCCAAACGATTGCAGATTGGTGTGCCCGGGTTCGAATGCAGCCGGTGCATGTGATCACCAGTGAGCAAAGACCCGTCCCTTTCCCGATTTATACGCTTTTGTTTGATGTGTTTGTTTCGTAGGCAGATCATTTTGATGTCATAAACTGATATAAACTGCGATCGCCCGCAACCAAAGACTTGTGGTTGCCCCGTCTGTTTGCAACATGTACACAGACGGATGCCTTATGCATGGTTGATTGGATAGATTTGATGGCCTTGCTACGTCTTGCTGTTACAAATCTATCTCCTGGTTGGTGGGATGTCAGAAAACCTGTTTTGGCCGAGGTTCCACTCTCGCACGACATTTTCAGATGCGGTCCGCCTGATTTCTTTGGTCCGAAGCGACGGTCGTTTTTCAGCGTCATGAGACCTCCTGGAAATCGCTTCATGTCGCGGAACTTGCAGGAGGCAGTTCGCCAGAGGACCATCATCCTCCAAAGTCAGGCAGTGTGGCGATGTCCACCCGAGCTTGTGCCACATTTGATTGGGCGGAAAGGTCAGAATCTGAAGCAACTGATGTTTGGTTTATCAGCCACAATTCGGATTCATGATGGAGGAGTAATTGAAGTCAAAGCTGCAGATGCTATGGTCGAGAAAGAAGCGCAAATGCGAGTCACCAACTGGCTGATCGACCAAGATGTGCCAGAGGCATCAGCAAAGCCGCCAGACTCATCCAGTGATCCTTTGTCTCTGCAAGTGGAGGATCTAGAACGATTGCTCTCCTTGCTGTGGTACCGGAAGCAGCTTCCAACAATTGGTTTTTGCTTTGACAAACGGATGTGTGAGAGAGTTGCTTTGCTGCTGGCCGGAGCCAAGCGCATGGATTTTTCCAGTAATGCAAACAAGCACAAGATTCGACAGAGGCTACAGGAAGGGCTTGAGCATCTGGAGCAACGAGACAGGCAGCTTGCTCAAGTGAAAAACTGCTGTGATTTGTTGGTACGTGGCATCGGTGTTCACCATGGCGGCATGTCGGTGCCTCAATTGCGGCATGCAAACATATGACATGTGACATGTATGTGACATGTGATGACATGTGTATATTACTAATAGCTTCTTCAAAGATCAGGCCAGAAAGAGCTGACATGTGACTTGAATGGTCAGATTCACAGAGACATGTTCGCATGTCAGAGATGTTTTCCCATTTCAGAAATGTTTTGAGTACCGTGCAGTCTGCAGCATGCCAGAGGCTTCCACTTCTTCGTGAAATGGTGGAGTTGCTATTTGCAGATGGCCTTTTGCCGGTGATCTTCGCCACAGAGACCTTTGCCATTGGCTTGAATATGCCGGCCAGGTCCGTGATCTTCACAGATGTGGTGAAGTTTGATGGTCGTGCTCGGCGCGTGTTGAACGCCGGTGAGTTTCGGCAAATGTCCGGCCGAGCAGGGCGCCGGGGATTGGATCGGGAGGGCCATGTCTATGTCATGTTGCATAGTGACAGGATCATGAAACAGCCAGCGGCAGAGACGTTGACCAAGGTCTACACGGAAGAGCCTTCTGCAGTCGAAAGCTGTTATCGAGTCCGGTGGTCTTCTCTTCTTCATCTGATTTCAGCTGGCCCAGCTCATCTCTACACCATGCTACGGCGGAGCTTGCAGAGGTTCACAGAACCAGAGGCTGCCATGTCGTTACAAGAAGAGGCAACTCGAATGGTAGAAGTTCTGCAGGAACTCGATTTCATAGATCAGTCAGGTGCACCTCTTCCAAAAGGGACGATGGCCTGCCATTTGTTCGTGCCTGAAGATGCCTTGCTTGTGGCTAATGTCATCATTACAGCTCAAGCCTTTGCCATTTGTGCCGCCTTTGTGAAGGCCCATACAATGAGCGCTGAAGGGGGTCTCTGACGCAGCTGTCCGTTCTGGCCTTGAAACTTGTCGCAAGGTGGCGCAGAGGTTAGCCTCCAAGCTCCATTCCCATCAGCTTCCATGTTGCAGCAATTGTGGATTGCTAAAGCCCATGGCTGTTTGCGATGGTGAGCCAATGATCAAGGCTCGTATCAACCCTCAGCTTTGCGAGACAGCCTTACAGTGGGCGTCAGGACAGGACTTCACATCTGCAGTGCTTAGCAGTCGCGTGGCCATTGGCAGAGAAGGACTTGTGACCCGGACGCTTCGGAGACTTGATGAGCTGATGCGGGAGATCACCTTCGTGCTTCGACATGATCTCGCATCACCGGAGGCTGCTCAAGCGATCCAGAATCTTACAGCTGACTTCATAAGAGGTTTACATATTAAACAATTTGCAGTCTTGGTCTTGGTTGTATGACGTTGAATAATTTTCAGTTCCATGTTATTCCCCAATTCCCTCATTCCATTTCCACGCCTGTTGCAACACCAGGAACGCTCGTCTTTTAGCCCGACGTGGTGTGCTGGCTGCGCCCTCGGCATATTTGGGTGAGGCGGAGGACCGAGTTGCCGAGGAGATTGAAGCAGAACCGCCATGGCCCAATCAAATGTGGCCCCCAGGTCACCAAGGTTCGCGGCTAAAATCTTGGTGCCCCAAAGTAAGCAGAGAAGACACTGGAACTAAAATCTGGGATGATGAAATTATGGAGAAAAATGCATTAGATATAGATAGTGTTGCATGGCAGCCCACTAATCATGTCTTCACAATTATAAGTCCGTCCTCAAAAAATCTGTGCCAGGTGACCTAGATCCCTTGGACCTGGGTTTCAGCCAGGCGGCTTGTAGTCGGAAGTTTCGGGCACCACCCGTGGCTGGAGGGCCGGAGCACATCTTGGGTTTGGCGGCAGCTTTGTGCGAAGGAAGCATTCGTTCCAGTGATGTGAGACCAGAGAGCATCTATTGGTTTCGACATCGCTTCTATTCTCTGGACAATCGCCGACTTGCAGCTTTCAGATTGTTTCGACTGAAGTGTGAAGATGCAAAGGTGCTGGTGATCGTCTTGAACCGTCGCCAAGCCTTGGAACAGCTGTGGCTCAGAAAATTTTCCACCGGCTTTACGGGTGGCCAAAAGATTCGCATCACCCAAACGGATCGATTTGTTGGCATCACCCGAGAACAATGCACCTATGGATGCAATCTCTGGGGTGCAAATTCCTGATCCTTGCGACGACCAGATCATGGTATAAAGATGGGATCACAAAAAAGGACATTGCATGACATTACCATAGCTTTCTCTTTGTCCGTTGAACGGAAGCACGGGAAACCATTTTTTTAGGGCACACAACGCCTGACAGGACTCTCCCAATTTGATGGGTACCTGTCACCTGGGATTTTGCAGAGGATATTTGCTTCCTCAGAACTGGAATTGGCAAAGCCAGCATGACTGACACATGGTTTGTCTGATCCCTGGGTAGGTGGATAGCAAGACGTGTTTCATCCTGCTGAATGCCAGATTACGTGGTGGCCGGAAAGATTCTCTACGTCAGGCGTTTTGACCGATACGGGAAGTGTCGAGCATTGGTGAGATGGCCCATGGCTTGAAAATCGATGAATGCATTTCTCCAGGATTTATATTAAAATCCATCAGGCATCACCAGGAGATGTGTATGTAATATTATGTAATTGTGTATAATATATCTATATATGTATATAAACCATGATTTATTCATGATGTATTCATTATTAATTTATTCATGATTCATCCATATGTCCAATAGTCCAAACATGCCACGGCAGGAGCTGGCGACTGCCTTCAGCCCGGCCTTCCATGTGCGATTGGTGGCGAAAGGCGAAGGGTTGGTCTTCCGGCAATTGCAGGAGATTGGGGCAGCAAACTTCATGGGCAAGGGATTGACATTTATTGATTATCGCACATCTATCTATCTATCGATCTATCGATCGATCTATCTTTCTATCTTATCTTATCTCATCTTATCTTATCCTATCTTATCTTATCTGATCTTATCTTATCTTATCTTATCCACCTTATCTATATCTATCTTATCTATCTTATCTATCTTATCTGTCTTATCTATCTTATCTATCTTATCTGTCTTATCTATCTTATCTTATCTTATCTTATCCTATCCTATCTTATCTTATCTTATCTATCTTATCTATCTTATCTATCTTATCTATCTTATCTATCTTATCTATCGATCTATCTACCGATCTATCTATCTATCTATCTCTCTCTCTCTCTCTCTTCCTCTCTCTCTCTAGCTATTAGATAGCAACTACATTGAAGATTATTCAAGCTAGTAAGTTGGATCAGTACCAAAGAACAGTCCGACAACCAACGGGAACGTGCATTGGTTTGATCGATGAACCTGTCACAACATGTTCATGAGACTCTCCTGGCAAAGGTCGCTGTTGGATGTTTGACGAAGCAGACCCTCAGCGGATGTCCAAAATCAGAAGCTTTGGTCAAAAGGTTGGTCACAAAAATTATAGGTCAAAACATGTCAAAACATGCCAAACATGACCTACCCATACCCCTTGGATGGTCGTCAGATGTCAGCTGCCGCGTTTCCAGGATGGTAGCTCACCATGGATCCTGGTCCACTGCTAAGAGATTGCCTCGCCAAAGTGTCCTAGGCACCAGTTCACTTGAAGTATGTTGAAAGAAGTCCGCAGAGAAGACAGTGGTTTCATGATGTTTGCAGTGATCTGCAATTCCTGCAAGTGAGCATGAAACACTACTCTAATTGCTGGTAGCGCGTTCTTTTCGCGTTCTCCAGTTCGGTCACAGTGCGAAAGGGAACCACAGGGCTTGTGCTGGTTAACCTGCATAGCAGCTCTGAATCTGCTTTTGCATCAGCCAAGTCTTCACTTTAGCAATGTCTTTTCCGGTATTGCTCAAGCATAGGCCAGGTGAACTGCCATTGTTGCTTTTGTCAGCCAGCGTCCAGGTTTGCCAAGAACGACCTGACTCATCATACATTTCAAATAACATGTGATTGTCTCTTGTGATCTCGCGTTTGTCCTTGTTATCTTGCACACTCACTAACAGACCGTGCGCCGATCTATACAATTTCCGCTATACATCTACATCATCTACCTAGCTGCCAGCATTTTGCTAACCTTCACCTTCCACTATCTACCGGCCTATTTTTCTTTAACAGGCCTGTTTGAATCTATGAAATAGTCCAGCCCTGGGGGACACTGGAAGGGGACTGCAGTACCACCGGTCAGGGAGCACTACTCTAATTGCTGGTAGCGCGTTCTTTTCGCGTTCTCCAGTTCGGTCACAGTGCGAAAGGGAACCACAGGGCTTGTGCTGGTTAACCTGCATAGCAGCTCTGAATCTGCTTTGCATCAGCCAAGTCTTCACTTTAGCAATGTCTTTTCCGGTATTGCTCTCAAGCATAGGCCAGCCTCCATTGTATGAACAAAAATTATGTCTCAATTGGAAGGTGAACTGCCATTGTTGCTTTTGTCAGCCAGCGCCCAGGTTTGCCAAGAACGACCTGACTCATCATAAATTTCAAAAAACATGTGATAGTCTCTTGTGATCTCGCGTTTGTCCTTGTTATCTTGCACACTCACTAACAGACCGTGCGCCGATCTATACAATTTCCGCTATACATCTACATCATCTACCTAGCTGCCAGCATTTTGCTAACCTTCACCTTCCACTATCTGAATCTATGAAATAGTCCAGCCCTGGGGGACACTGGAAGGGGACTGCAGTACCACCGGTCAGGGAGCACTACTCTAATTGCTGGTAGCGCGTTCTTTTCGCGTTCTCCAGTTCGGTCACAGTGCGAAAGGGAACCACAGGGCTTGTGCTGGTTAACCTGCATAGCAGCTCTGAATCTGCTTTTGCATCAGCCAAGTCTTCACTTTAGCAATGTCTTTTCCGGTATTGCTCTCAAGCATAGGCCAGCCTCCATTGTATGAACAAAAAATATGTCTCAATTGGAAGGTGAACTGCCATTGTTGCTTTTGTCAGCCAGCGTCCAGGTTTGCCAAGAACGACCTGACTCATCATACATTTCAAAAAACATGTGATAGTCTCTTGTGATCTCGCGTTTGTCCTTGTTATCTTGCACACTCACTAACAGACCGTGCGCCGATTTATACAATTTCCGCTATACATCTACATCATCTACCTAGCTGCCAGCATTTTGCTAACCTTCACCTTCCACTATCTACCGTCCTATTTTTCTTTAACAGGCCTGTTTGAATCTATGAAATAGTCCAGCCCTGGGGGACACTGGAAGGGGACTGCAGTACCACCGGTCAGGGAGCACTACTCTAATTTCTGGTAGCGCGTTCTTTTCGCGTTCTCCAGTTCGGTCACAGTGCGAAAGGGAACCACAGGGCTTGTGCTGGTTAACCTGCATAGCAGCTCTGAATCTGCTTTTGCATCAGCCAAGTCTTCACTTTAGCAATGTCTTGCCTTTGTCGCACGAGCAGTCCATGAAGTTTAGGCTTGCTATTTCTTGCCAAAACCTTCGATCAGATTCTTTTCAACAAGAAGTTCCATTCGCTCCCGTCGATTCCCAAAAATCTCAGTCCAGTCCTTTTTAACATTTGTTAACAAGATAGCATTGGCTTGCGGCTTGCAACCATGAAGACGCTTCGTTGAAAGTTGCTTGACCAAGGCTCGGCGAAAGCTCCCAAGCACCGTTGCCACTGAGGCAGAAAAACGCCATCACTTCTTACAAAGAGATGGGTTGTTCATTGATGATTCTTTTGTGGATATATTTTGGCTTGTCATGGTTTGCCATGGTTTGTCTTTTTGCATCTTGGGAAACATCCAAAATCGTAGCTTGAGACAATCATGTTTCTATAATAGGCCAGGAAAGGGGGCATCCCCGATTTTCAGACAAAGCCATATTTCTTCAAGTGTCGACAGCAACCAGTTGCATCAGCTGCCCTTGCCTTGTTGCCAGCCTTGCCGGCAGGTGTCGCGGAGCTTGGAAGAACCAATGCCTGATCGCATTGAAGAGGTATTTGCACAGTCTGCAGATCCATAAGACCCACTCCATGGGGATGACGACTGTGCCATAGGGCTTCAAGACGCGCCGGCGTCTTGAATGCCGGAAGCAAGGTGATTTATGAATTTGGCATGTTTGCTTGTTGCTTATGCCTACCATGGCACTTCGTGATCCCTCACGGGTATTAATTTCTCATAAGAAGCTAGCCATAAAATGTGGCTGCAGCCTGCTCATGGCACCTGCGGAAAAGCGGCAGCCTGCCATGTGTCGGCGTTGAATTTCCTACGTGACATTTTAAGGGTCTCCTGTGATTGCCTTGGAGGTCTTTCACATGCCTTGTTTGGTGGTTTTTTAGACTAACAATATAAGGGGACAGGCACAAGTGTGATTTCAAGCACTCCAAGCACTAGGACTTTTGCGGTTGCTCCAAGTATCATTTTGCCACTGAGATTTGGATCCTTTGGCATGTGACTCCTGGTGTTGACCTATGACATACAGGGGGCAGGAACACTGCCCTGCTAATTTTCAGTATTGGAAGTTTCCTAAAATGGGGGAACCCAAGTTATCATCCTTAAGTGATTGGTCATTTGATGTCATTTGTAAACTGGAAACCACAATAACCACTTAAGAAAACAGGTTTTTTTTGGGTGCAAAATGTAGGACACCGAACCGCATGAACCATCGCGAGACCGGCGAGACATCGCTGGAGCCGTTGCCAGGATGGGAAAGGTCAGGCCACCCTGATTCCTGAGGAGATGGGTTGATGGCTGGGTTGATCTTCCCAGGCTGGATTCGTTGATGGATCTCTAAATCACAGGAAATCAATCTCTAAATCACAGGAAATCACAGGTCCAGCATTCTGACATCCAATGTCCTTGGATTTTTGCGAATTTTGAGAGAGGGTGAATCGCATGCTGTAGCCACGTGGCATGGTTTTGTACCTTGGAAAGACGGAAACATCTGTACACCTCCACACTGACGGTATCAAAAAGGCTTCTTCCAGATTGATGGCAGCTCAGCGTTGCAAACTTCAGCAAAATCCAAATGTTCCAACTGAACATAGCGTTCCCGACTAGGATGCTTGTTGGTGTTCCTCTACATGGCCATGGATCAATACCTATAAATATCATTAAATCCACTTTTTAGGGGGGTGAACATCCATAAATCCCAGCTATTTTGATGTGAACTACAGGGGTACAAGGTTTTGACCCAGCCGACTCACGCAGGAGTCCGAGGATTTGTGGCATTTGTACAACCTGAGCATGTGGGACACCTGGGCACATCTGTGGGGGACACCTGGGACCTGGTTGAAGAGCAGCATTTTCAGAAAGAAGTGAAAAGATACTGGGAGATGCCTTCCATTGTATGAGGATTTTTTTTCTCAAGATCTCAAGGCTCAAGTGGTGTAGTTTTGATTGACATAAATAAAGTGTACTGGTAGACCGAGAACAAAGAGGTTGCAGTGAACTAGACCAAAACTTTTCCCTCATTCGCAGAAACTGCAGGACATTCTTCATGTCCGAAACTTGTCAGCCTATTGGATGCTTAAATTCCTAAATGTTGCGCCACAAACATCACCAGCAACTTTTGACCACCTTTCTTTCTGCTGAAGTCGGGCTTGGGTCCGTCATGCCATGGTCGCCATGTCACGGAGCGAGTTGGTGGGTCTCTGCAAACGTCGCCGTGTGGAGCCAAAGGAGGGCTGCTGCGATGTCGCCACGGAATTCTTTCAGGACAACGTGGACAACGTGGATGAGGACGACGAGGACGCCTTTGGCATCTCCAAGGAGCAGGATCCACCTGCAGAGCCTGCAGAGCCTGAGCCTCAGCAGCCTGGGCCTGGTGTAGCTGAGGCCGAGGCATCCGAGACATCCGAGACGGAATATGAATCCGTGGAAGAGGAGACGGTGCCGGAAGCGGTGGAAGCGGTGGAAGCGGTGGAAGCGGTAGCGGTGGAAGCGGAAGAGGAGACGGAGGAGATTCCCATAGAGCCCTCCCCACAGAACACGGCTGATGCGGGTGAGCCACAGCCTCACACTCCAGAAGAGCCGCTGGAGGATCACCAACCGATGCATCGAAGTTGCGCTCCTTCCAGGTCCAGTTTGCGCAGGTCCAGTGGCACACCCGGTCGCATGCGCGTGTCGTTTACAGAAATGGATGTTCCGGAGAGCTACCTGTTGGACGATGCCACTGGACTGCAGGAAGTGATCCATGTGGAGAATTGCCGCTTTCAAGACCTTTGGTTTTCCAATCCTGGTGCTGCCGTGCAATGTGGCTGGTGTCAACGTGATTGGCCCCAGGCCTTTGGTAAGTTGCATGGTGAGGAAGGTCGGTCGCAGTTTGCCCAGACGGATTTTGTGTGTAACGAATGCCTGGCTGCGGCGGAAGAAGCCTGGAGGACATGGCAGGCTCAGAAGGAGGCTGAGGCCCAACAACTGGCACAGAAGACCTCCCAAGTTGCTGAAGTTCCCACTGGGCCAACTGGGCCTTGGGATAACCCTGGCAGTGGCTGGAATGATTGGACAGGTGAGGAGTAGTCATGAGCAGTCCGCATCTAGCCTGGTGTCAATGGTCACCAATGGTGCCCTTTTGAGAATCTCAAAGAGTCTCAAAGAATCTCACGAAGCAAGCCGTGCTCAGCGCAGCCGCCGAGCGCCAGCCGCCGAGCGCAAAAAGCAGCCCAGCGCCTGCGCCAGAGATGGGATATTTTCCCCAATTATCATAAGTATATATATATATAATTATCCAATGTTTTCCCCTATGAAAATGATGAAAACATTGCCATTTTGGGGGGAAACCCAACCATTTTCAGACAAACCAACCGATCTGCCAAGTTGAGTCTGGCAAGGAAGGGAGACACCATCAAGGCAATGACGTATCGGAAGGCTGGAGCGAACCTTCCCAGAGATGGTATAAGATACCAGTTTTGCGTGACAATCTGCATGTTGAAATGATATGGCATGATACCATCCACAATATTTTATGTTGAATTCTCAACTCCTGTAATTAAATCATCCAAACTGGCACTGGATTTCCTGAGCGTTTGAACTTTCTGAAAGTGTCAGTGCAGCCTCTGTCGACCACCCGGATGAGAATTCGCACCATGTGTATTCTCCAAATATTTTCACAAGAAGTCTGCGGATACTCCGGCTTTGCCACATCTTCGAACCTATCCTGACCTCACAATGTCATCAATGATGTCATGTGCTGAGATCCAGAAAGAGGGAAGCACGGGCACAGTCCAGACGGAGGTGAAAAAGCTCCCTGGCAGCATTGGGGTGTATTTCTTCAGTTTTTCACGTGAATGAACCTCTTTTCAGCTTTTTTTTTGCTCATGAGAAGTCATTGTTCTGGCTGAGGCTATTTATACGAAAAGAATCGAAAAGATGGACATTGGTACAACTACAACGAAACACACTAGACTTTTTGGAGTGGCAGTTTGGACATTCTGGTCCCAACTGGAATCTTGAAAAGGGTGAGATCACCAAGGATTCAGATGACCGTGGAGGAGCCTTAGCTGCAGCAGCTTCCATGGCATCCATGGCACATTATCCATGGCAAGGTGAAGACCATTGAGTACGATGCAGCTGGAAATGTGATCCGCTACTCTGGGAAGAATTGCGAGGACGCCTCTGACCGACAGGGAAAGTTACCCCCCTATGCACTGGCCAATGATTTCCCCATTGAAATTGCCGATTCCATAGCATGCTTACTTTTTGCAAAGCATGCTTACTTTCAGGCAGGTTTTGAGATGACTGCTCATTGACCTTTCTTGTTTACAACTCAACATACCCTTTGCAACACCCCACCCCTCATGCTTTGCAGAGGGCTCTGTCACTTCTACATTACATTGGTCCAATCGCTGCTTGCAATGTGTGAGCTTCAGCCACCTAACAGCCAAAGTCTCTCCCAAATGATCTTTCTTCAACCAAACTGTCCAAAAAAAAAGCATCTACTAGTTTTCTTCTACTAGTTTTTATAGCTTTTTTTTCCAACTTTCCGGATATCCCAGCATGAAACCTTCCTCTTCACCACCTTTTCCCATCCGCTGACCGCTGTCACCGCACCGTCCCCGGCAGCCGCGGCCATGGCGTCGAGTCCGCGCGCCATGGCGACGCCATGGCGGAGCCCATCGTGGCACAGCTGCGGATCCGCGCGGAGGTGGCGGAGGTGCTGCGGGAGGAGATCCGCAGCTGGTGACTTGGCCAGCTGGGATGGTGGAAAACACCCATAGTATGGTTTACCCTCTGGTAAACGTTTACATAACTATGGAAAATCACCATTTTTAATGGGAAAATCCACTATAACTGGCAATTTTCAATAGCTATGTTAAATTACCAGAGGGTATTGATGTTTATGATTACCATTGCTTTATGGACTGGGGATATATGGGGATGGTTTACTAACATTTTGGGGATGGTTTATTAATGTTTATTATTGCTGTACTGACATGAAATGTATGATATGATGTTTTGAAATGTTTTGGGATAGCCCGGTGCCAGTGATAATTGATCAGGATAACGGTTTTATTTGTGTGTGAACGCAACCACCATTTTGCAGCAAGGTCATGCACTGAGAACTACAGAGATTGGACCATGTTTCGCACACTGAACATGAAAAGAGGAAAAACCGTTTACCCTCTGGTAATTTAACATAGCCATGGTATAGATGGCCCATAGAAATAGATGGTTTACCTGGGTTTACCTATTAATAGCATGGTGAATCTTTCCATGGCTATGTTAGTCATAACCAGGTTGGGTAAATAGTTCAATCGACTCAATCTTTGTTCCGGCGATCCTGGAGACCGAGGCAGAGGAATCCAGGTTTTGCTACAGCTGTCTTAAAACGACTGGCACGGGTACCCCGGGTACCCCGGGTAAGCAATGAAGTGGCAGAGAATGTGAGGGACGTCTTGGACTTCATGGTGTCTCAGACAGTTGCCACTTGGCTGGTCACTTGAACCCTTTTTATTGGCGGGGTGCAGGATTGTGACAGATATGACTTACAACTTAGAGCGCTTAGAGTCCGTCCCCACTGGT